AAAAAAAAGAAAGGCCTTGGTGAATTTGGGCTTGGGTTTAGGGCTACATGTTCTTGCTTTATTAATTGAGTGTTAATGGGGCCAAGACAATTTAGTTTTGCTGAGGAGTGGTCGAGACTTGATAAAAAATCCGATTCACGCACCTTGCTTGTGGGATTCTCGGAGTGCGGTAAATTTTGAAACTCACATTTAAATCGTACGTTTAGTTCCTCTGGTGAGAAATTCATTAATTTTCGAGTAAATAAGATAAATTTATTTATATAAATTATCTTGTTTAATAAAGGCTTTCGAGGAGTCGAGCCCTCGAACCTACCGTGATCATTTCACTTGTATTTTCCAGTCTTTTCCGAACCAGGAGGGTTATTCTAAATATCTATGCCGTGAAATATATGTATTGTTTGTGTTGGTATGATCAATGTATGCATGTGAACCATGTAGCCTTCAATGTAAGATGTATCGGCCGTTGAACGGTTATCCCCGTCTACATGGTACGAGCCCTTTTTTGGGCAGTCTCCCTAAGTCATGTACGGAGGCCATCGTATGTAAGACCGGGGCAGTGGCCGAAGGCTTTCTATACGTATGTCGTTGTAAGACCAAGGCTGGACCTTGGCCGTTGACATGTACTTCTACTGAGTGGGCGTCGATGTAAGGCCTGTACAGAGGCAATCGATACGAAGACACTCAGTAGCTTTATAGAGATGTGCAAATGATTATTTATTTGATTAGGAGTGGGATATATTTTATTGATTCGTGTTCATGCTACGACCATACCTGACTTTCTGTATTTAAGTTTATGTGCATAGTAGTTAGATCTTATGCCAAACCCTTTAGATCTAAAAAAAAATAACCGGAAGGAACAAAATTAAAGGAAGATCGACCAACTACCTATCTTTGAGAATCTACAAGCCGGAGGAAAACGAATCGGATCAAGGCCTCGGACAACTACGCGCGCGGCCTCGGCGTCGAATAGCTTTCGTGCGGCTTTGTGTTGATTGGCGTGGGCTGAAGCGTGAGGGCTCGATGCTTGCTCGATGGTGGCGAGAGGGCACTGCTGGTGACGAGGCAAGCGATTGTTGCTCACTACTGGGCGCCGTGAAAGGCTGGAGCGTCGCATGTGCCGGCGGAGGAGCAAAACCGAGAGAGAGAGCTTTGAGGGGCGACTTGAATGAATTTTTCAGAGGTTTTAAGCTTCAGATTTTGAGAGCTTTTTCCTTTTGGGGTTCGTATGATGAGAAAAACGTAAGGGAAGAGGATAGGGAATGGAGAAAAATACAGTAAGTTAAACAAAGGGGATCAAGGTGATTAAAGGAGGATTACTCCATACTATAATTAAGCCATATAAATGGCATCAAATGGGGAATAAATCAGGTGGTCAAAGGCTCTTAAGAGCTGATCTAATTTGCTTCTAAACTTAGCACACCCATTCAAAATTTGAAATTGATGAGGGGAGCCAAAATGCACATGGTTTGGGCAGATTTTCTCACAAGTTTGGGCTGATAAACCACTTTATGGTCGGTTTTTTTTTATTATTTTTTTTCGGCTCAAAAGGCCGAACAATAAGGTGTTAATGGTCAAGTACTTGGTCCAAGACTCAGGGGCAAAAATGCTAAAAAGAAAGGCTCACGGGCGAATTTAAATCGAATGACGACGGACGAACGATTTTCGAATAACGACGACATAAAACTGGAAATAACTTTAAGTATACGATAACGTCTACAAAGATTATTCGACTTATTATATAAAAAAAAAAGCTTAAACGAAGCTTTGTCGAGCAATACAACTAAATAAAAGCCTGACGAATAAATAATTAATATAAAATACGCTAACTCATCTAAAATGAATGGAGCGCTATATGTTATTTTAAGTTGGAAATCTTTTTATTACTCATTATAGTCAAATGTATCAGGTATTTTTTTTTTTCTTCTCTGTATTATTTAGCTAGTATGGTATGTTACACATTTATGTAAAATTGTTATGTTTATTTATTTTTCAAATAGTTTATTTTGGTATGTTACATGGTTATGTTTATTTAATATTCCATTTATACTCAGATCACCCAAATTTGGACAACAGACTCGTTTATTTTTTAAGATGATTAATAAAAAAAAAAATCCACATGGGTTATGAAAAGTAAACCAGAGTTAAACTCTCAAGACATAAAGAATAAATGTATAAATCGTCTACTGCTAGGGGCTCATTTAACTTTTTCCATTTCTATGTCCTATGTTAAATCCAAAAATATATTTATGTTATGTTCTTTGTCCAAATTGAATATTATTCTATGTTCCATATCATAGCTACTCATTTTTAGTGGATAAGGCTTAGAAATGTTGGTAAGATACAACAGGTACAGAAAACTCATGAAACCCCAAACAAAGTCTGGTTTCCAGCTGGTTTATCTTCAGTGTACCAAAAATTTGACTCAAGAGCTCGTCAAAGTAGCAATTTCCATTTCCCGTCACTTCAAAGTTATCGTAAGTGTTGTCGTTCCAATCTCCATTGTAGTGAAGAAGTACCATAAGTGGTGACATTTTCTACAAATCATAACAAAAATCACTACAAGAATAATCAGTTTTAGTGACGATAATTGTTGTCGCTATGTCGTCACAAAAAATACCGTCACAATAAGAGGTATTATTGTGACGACATTTGAACATATAGCGACAATATTAGGACATTATTAGCGACAGTATTTTTTTCTGACGACATAGCGACAAAAATTATCGTCACTAGAAATGATTATTCTTGTAGTGAATAAATAAATAAACACAAAAGCACCATAAAAAAAGACGAATTGATAGACAATCCGCAAATCTATAACAGTTGACATTAATTTGTATATGAAAACCTCGACAATTGCAGACCGATTGGGCATACCTTGACGGAGAGGTGAAAAATTGTTATTTAGGAATTCAAAAATTCCGACTTAACAAATATGTAAAGAGTTTTCTTCTCTCGTATATTTAGAACTCACAATCGCTGGAGTGGTCGACGTGTCTTTTTGCCTTAAAATTTATGTCATAAATATAAATACTCATATATATGTTCTGCAATTTTAATTTATATTGTTCATTTTTACTAATTGCTAAATTTTAAAAATATAACATACTAATAATCCAGCTTATAACTTTAAAAATTATATGCATCCAAATAATATATAATAATATTTTATTTGTATTTGTGTATGTACACTAGATTGACTACTAGGGTGGTACAATCCATGACCTTTAATCATAAGCTGGCTAGACACCAATCAGTTCAACTTGAAGGATAATGAAGGCATATACTACAATATACCTTGAGATTAACACAAAACAAAGAGTTCAACAGATTAAGGTCCGGTCAGGTGCGATAGCACCATATAAGGGTTATAAAAAAACTACGCATTAACTCGAGCGACCATAAAGAGCAGTTGGAGGCATGGTATTAAATAAGTAGTCATGGATCTCTTTCCTGTGGTATAATCCTCGATAGATAGTTGAAACCATAACGATAAGCACGCCACAGATGGCGAATCTTGCCTGGGCAGATGGCGCATTCACTCTCTGTAGTACGTAAAATCCAATATATTTGAAATAAAAAAAATGTTAATAATAATTATAATAATGTTGTGATGTAACAGATAGAATGATCTAACCTGGGTAACCATTTGTCCACGATTCAGTAGTGTTTGGCAGCTCTTCAGGCTCCGCGGGTAACAATGTTGCAATCACGTATTTATCATCATTCTCCACATAGTAGAGTTTAGCAAACATGCGGCGTAATTGTTCCCTGTGACCACCCACCCTTGCCTCAAAGTTCACATGCACCCAACGTGTACTCTTCTCGGTAAAGTCCATTGAAATCCCAGTACAAGTAAAACTGTTGCCTCCGAAAGCCTTTTCAAAATTCAGGTTTGTTCCCTGCCTTTTATTTGTTCAATAAGATGAGGAAGGAGAGATGAATGACTAGATGCAGCGGAAAGCAAAATATAAAGAGAAGAGAAAAATAACATGTGTCTCGTTGTAGTCGTGTAATGCAAGTTGTGACAGTTTAACAACATCATCTTCTAAAAATTGCTTAGGATCACTACATGTGCTGCATCCAGTGTTTTAAATGGAGAATAGCATTCCATGGCGGAAAGCCAAAAAACTGCCATAATTCTATGGCGGATGGCGTAGCAGAAAATGGCGGAAGTTATGGCGGACCCAAATATATATATATATATATATATATATATATTTATACATATAAAATTTACATATGAACAAACACACACCTAAAAACATGTCAATAAATTTCACAAAAAAGAGGCATTAGTTTCACATCATTCAACATGTTCAAAATAACAACACAGTGCACACATTAAATGAAAAATAAGCAACCAAACAATTCAAACGACAAACATTTGACAAGTTTAAGTCTTCCAATTATCAAACTAAAAGAAAGGATAAATAAAATGCAAAACAAAACACAAATCAAATGATTAATCCTCCTCCTCAAGCCCAACATAATCATTTTCCATGTTATCGTTAAGTAAAGCATCTCCCTCTTCCTCTTCTCCATCAGAATCCTCCAAATCCACAAAATCTTCTTCTTTTTGAGATTCATCATCTTGATCTTCAAACTCCACTTCCTCATCTTCAACCACTTTCTCCTTCCCTCTCCCTTGCGTAGCTTGTTTTTTTGGGATTGGAGTTCCTAGTACTTGAACTACCGCCCGGTAGCTCCTTCATTTTTGTAGCATTTTGCTTCGTATATGTTACAGGCTCTCCAACCCCCGAAGCCTCATACACGGTATCTCAATTCAATGAGGTATCACCATCAAATACTAAAACCCTTCCGACATGGCACCATCATCACTATCCATTTCTCCAACCAACCACTCATTACAATTGTCAATATGATCAAGTGAAACACTATCCACTTCTCCAACCAACCACTCATTACAATTGTCAATATGATCAAGTGAAATTGGGTCAATATTATCCCTAACATCAAATCTCATCTTCAATTGTTGATTGTATTTGACATACACCAAATCATGCAACCTCTTATGTTCTAGCCTATTTCTCTTCTTTGAATGAATCTGAGACAAATATAATTACAAACTAGTTTATATAATCACAAAAATAGTAATGACGGGCACTATGATTCATTGCCAAAAAAAGTTGAAGACTACTAGTACCTGCTCAAAGACACTCCAATTGCGTTCAAAACCCGATGCACTACATGTCAAGCTAAGAATTTTCATAGCCAATTTTTGCAAATTCGGACTTTGGCAACCATACAACCGCCACCACTTATCTACAATAAAAATTTATAAATTATGATTTAGAACATTATATAAAACTATTATTAATAAATAAAATATATAATACTTTTTCCTCCTTTGGAGCAACTGTTTTCCGGTGTTCTTTGGCAAAGTCACTTCTGAAGAGACCACCCCCGGTCTTATAAAGTATCGACTCCGTCATTATTTTGGATTGGGCCTCTCTGTCTACCACCAACCTCTTAATGCACTCCATGAATCCACTGCTAATCTCCAAGTCATACTCCATTTCGAGGTTCTTAAAAAGAACTCCGAATTTAAAAAGTGGGCGGCCACATGCAAAGGACGATGAAGTTGCAAATTCCACATTTTATCAATAACTTCAAACACATCCTTGTATTTTCTTTCACCGTTACTGAAAGACGTCATAATTGCTTCCTTTGCCTTATCCATTGCTTCATAAATGTAGCCCATTGTCGGGTTTTTTTCACCATCCACAAGGCGAAGCCCTCGAACAAAAAGAGCCATGACTTTGAGAGTGCAAACCACATTGTTCCAATAAGAAGGCCGAAGCACAACTCTCATCGCTTCCCTTCCCTTGGCATCCTTCGAAAATTTGTTCTTGTTCCACTCCTCCGAAGTAAACATCCTTCGGAGATTTGACTTCTCTTGATGGAGTCTTTCTAAAGAGAGGAATGATGTAGCAAACCGGGTGACGACATGTTTCACCATTTCCCTTTTGTTTGTGAAATGTCTCAACAAACTCAAGGTACTCGAGTGGGCATAGATAAACCCCACAAGGAAGATCCCACTTTTGATGGTTTTCCTAATCAAAGGAAGCTTCCCGATGTCTTCAAGCATTAAATCAATGCAATGAGCCGCACAAGGAGTCCAATAAAGATGTGGTCTGTTGTCCTCCAACAACTTACCCGCGTCCACATAATTACTCCCATTATCCGTGATAACTTGGACAACATTTTCCTCCCCAATCTCCTGCACTGGAGAATCAAGAAGTTCAAATAATTTTTGTCCCGTCTTATCAAAGTCGGAAGCATCCATGGACTTCACAAACATAGTACCCGCTTGCGAGTTCACCAAGAAATTAACGATGCATCTTTGCTTACTATCTGTCCAAGCATCAAACATAACAGAGCAACCAATCCTCTTCCACTCCGCCCCGTGATGACTCATCAAGTTCTTGGTGTAATCCACTTCATTATTTAAGAGTGGAACTCTCATCTCGTGGGGGCTCGGAGTTTGCAAATGTGGGCCAAAGGAACCAATACCAGCAACCATAGTTCCTAAGCATGGATGTTTGACAAGATTGAATGACAAGTTGCCGTGATACCAAAAGCGAGCAATAAGTTCATGGACCCTAGCCGTTGCTTCTTTGTCACAAGCCTCTCTTATGCTAACTTGTTTTAGTTTTTCTTTCTTCCTCTTGCCAATAGCAGTCTCTGGCTTTCGGCAAAATAGATCCATCAGACCTTTCAACTCAGCAACATTCTTTCTAGAAGGTGGTAAGGAAGTGTCATCATCACTATCGTCAAGTGAAACATACTTGCTATCACCAGGTCCGGTATTTTCTTTTTCCTTCACATAAGCCCAAAGTTCTTCTCGAACTTCTGTCGGACATTTTTTGCATGCTGCAACATCTCCCTTTCTTCCCATCAAATGGTTCTTGGCCCTTGTTATTCCTCCATTCATAATTTTCGCGCAATAATTACAAACAGCTGTGTTTGTATCACTATCATTTGGTGCATGGCAATATTTCCACCCGATGTCATTTTTAGTGTTGGACCTGCTAGCCTGTGAAGTCACCGCGTCTGACATTTCCTGAAATTTATAAAAATGAATACTTGTCAAATCTCAAATAATAACTATAATAAGCTTATAAACTTCAACACTAAGCTACTATTAATATCAATAATGTGAATATAAAGCACAATGCAAAATCCTAGTATAAATTTCATTATAGTGACTACACATCAAACATATTGCTTTCTTTTCTTAAACTGAAGAGAAAAAAAAAAACTAAACAAGAAGAAAAATAAAAAAAAATCTCTCTAGGTTTAAAGCTAATTCATCCCAATATTTTTATAATAATGATGCAAGCTGTTTTTGCCTCACTTTATTCTTAATTTTGTCACTATTTGACTTTATTCCAATAAACTTGTTTTCATGTAACCCACAAATATTATTAGTAAACTTTAATAATTTGGTTTTATATGACTTTAAAAGTATTAAATAATTAAAGAAAAAAAAACTAAAAATGAAGGAAACTGAAAAACAATCGGTCAGAAAAAATAAGAGTAGGAAAAAAAAATAAAAAAATTGAAGGAAAATAAAAATAAAATCTGAAACTGAAAATAGAAGGAAGAAAAAAGAACTTACAAGTGATTGAGAGCCGCCTTGCCAGAGTTGGAGTCGCCGGTCGCCGAAGGGATAGTGATGCCGACGAGATTGCATTAACATCGTCTCGTTTCATTAGTTTGATTATTATTTCGTGTCTTATTTATATTTATATTGTGTTGGGTTTGTATTATGTGGACTTTTAAGTTTAGGTGGTTAGGATTTGTATTAGTGTTAATACGTACTAGTGTATCATTTTCTGACAGTTGAGCATTTTATGAAATTGAATCGGAAAGAAAAGAAACTGTCATCTCGTTTCTGTACAAGTTCTTACAAATCTCCCATCCATAGCTTCTACCTGCATCATTTGGTATCAGAGTCGGGACGGTTCTTCATTCCGCTGAAACGACGAGATGCCGAGATTGATAATCGTCTTCAACGTATGGACGATCAGGTCCAATTACTGGACACTCGGGTTACCGATCTCGCTACGGAGATCGACGATATACGTACCACACTTTTTACCATGTTACGGGATCAGCAAGCACACCGGGAGGACGCCGGCGGGAGAGGTGGTCGCAGGCCAGCGAGGCGACCGTGGTGGTCGCGGAAGAGCGCATCGACAACCACCTTTACAACTGGATTTTGTTGATGCGGACAGTGAAGACACTTTGTCCGACGTCAACCCCTTTGCCGAAGGTTTCGCACATGACGGAGCGCCTGATCGTCGTCAACCGCGCCGGCGGGCTGAAGTATCCGTTTGGCAAGGTGTTCACCTATATTTTTAAAGCTCGACCGCAAGTGTACGGCTTCGCTCGTAGTATGTGGCAAGGAAGGTCGTATCCCAAGAGACCAAATAATCAATATATCAAGTATTAGATTATGATAGTGTCAACTTTATTTAGACGACCGAATATGAGATTGATCAACTAAAGTAAGAAATAAATGAAAGGAAATAAAGCAAAAATAAATAACTAGCTAGATCAACACGTGAGAAAATATATGGGAACGATAGATTCTAAGACGTTGGGTTCAATTAATAGTTAGGATTCCTTCAAAAATATCACAACTAAATGTTTCCTTTATCTACCCTATAAGATGATCACAAATTTAGCATATCGTCCCTCTCGAGATCGATAAAACCGTAGATTAAATCACATATATTAGCGTCTCCACTCAACACATGCAATTCAACTCCATAAAGATTAAAAGACCCAAAATCCTCACAACTATCTACTAATCTCTCGATTCAAGCAAATAAATTGTGTCAAATATTAAAGATCTAATATTGAACTCATCTCTCGAATTATGAACAATATCATCAAACTCATGAAATAAGAACAAAATATTTGAATAGGGTTCAAAAGAAAACAATCAACTATGATAAATCATCCAAAAATCCCAAACTATTAATCTACTACCATGTCTTAGAATCAAAGAAATTTAGCTACTCATGTTTCAATTCAAATACAGACATATTAGAAATCATCATGAGAAGATAAGTTTAAAAGAGAGAAAGAAAAACTAGAAATCTTGTGGTTGATCTTCTCTTCTTCCCAATTGCTTCTCTTGTGTGTTCTCTAGCTCCCTTCCTTGCGTAATCACGTTCTCTGGCTCAAGATCAGGTAAATAGGTCTTTTTATATGTCCAAAAGTCCTCTCCTAAGCGAAAAAGGTAAGCGATTAAAAACTACCCGCGTCGCGACACGACCTGACACGCCCGTGTCACAGGTCATGTCACGGGTCGTGTCAGGTATAGATCCTTTAGTGCTGTCTGCTGAGGTGACACGGGACCAGACACGGCCTGGCAGCCCGTGTCACCACCCGTATCACATACAAATGCCCTCATTTTTTTGGCTCGTTTCTCTCGTTTCTTCCATTCCTTTCATCCGTGCATCGATCTATCATTATCCCGGGAGTTT